AGGGGCACAATGGGCTTACACACATGCGCCTTGCACCACAGCCAGTCCCAACCAATATGGCTAAAAACCGGATACAAACCCAGCTACACCCTGGAAAAAAGCCATGAGAAAGCATTTGAGCCAAGGGCCTCCCTGCACTCCAGTGGTTTGCAGCCCTGATCTTCTCAACTGTGTTCCCAGCCTTGGAAGTTCACTGCAGTCCTGAAGGGCTTTAGTGTACTCCCAAGGCTAGGGGCACTGACCACATATTCCACTTAAGGTGTAATAGGAATCAACCACAAAATTATCATGCATGTTTTGTGTAACAACTTTGTGGCCTATTCCCCGTTTTATCACGCCATTAAATGAATTAACGTGTGGTGGGGTCACTGATTAAGGCATGATTAGTTATGTAGGGCTGACAAACAATTAAAAAAATTAATCGCAATTAATTGCAAGATTTAAAAAAAAAATAGATGCAATTAATCGCAATTTTAAATCACACAATTAAACAATAGTCAGCATCCCCTACGCAACAACCTGGAGCCTGAGCACCCTGTAGCTCCTCCCTGCCACCACCAACAGTGCACAGACCCAACCCTAACCCCAACCCACCCCACACCCAGGCTCTGGGCAGCTGCAGCAAGAAGGGCTGAGCAGCAGTGAGGGAGAGGGGCTGCTTTTCCTTCATGCCGAGCAGCAGTTTTTGCCAGGCTGCTGCCACTGCTCAGCATGGGTGGGTGAGTCTGGAACAGGCATGGGGTGGGCTGGGGTTAGGGCTGTGCATGAATTAGTGGTAAGGCGCAAGCTATATGATGGACAGTCCTCTCCACCAATCAGCAGCAGGGGTAGGGCCACCAGGGGCCCCTGGACCCATCAGAGGCACAAGGGTACCCCAGCCATGATAAGCTCATGAAAATGGCAACCCTGCAATCTGCCCATGAAATCAACCAGCCAGAGCTTCTAGTAGAGAGACCTCTACTCATTGTGCATCCAAGATTATTACTCTCACTCCATTCTGTAGTAGTTTTCCAATACAGCTTTAGAAGGCCAAAACATTAGGGCTTGTACCACCTTCCCTTGGAAGGAAATAACAGTCATTTCATCTTTCAAAGATGGTTGGTTTTCACCTCCCCTAACCTAAGAGTGACTAGATATTAAGCAGGGCCTTTTTTTAAACAGTCTGTACATAGATTAAGTAGGGGTTACTGCATACACTGGAACTTAAAAAAACCCATCACACATACACACAAAGCTCTGCTACTGAGTCATGACACCTCTGGCATTTCTGTTTCCCCATCTTTAAAAATAAGATAACATTCCCCTCCTGGGGTGTTGTAAAGTTTAATTAATATTTATAAATTGTGTTAATATACACAGATGGGAACTGCTTGAGAAAAGCAAATTAATGATATAATTAATATCATTAATTATAATAATGATAATAATAATCATTATTATTAGGTTTGGGATTTTTGACAATTTCAGCATATGCTGATACAGCATGGTTTGCTCTACTAGATAAGTAAGGAATTTGTTCTGCGCAGCAAAGGCATTTTCAGGCTAAAAGATATAATTTACTTGCAATTACAAGGTCATCTGTCCAAGATGATAATGGAATTGCAAAACTAGGAAGGGAAAGTTTGGAGAATTCCATGCAATACATCAGATGAAGTAGGTATACAAGAGACAAATATCTTTCAGGCTCTAGCCTCCATCTCCTCACTTTCTTCCATAAACAAGGCAGGTAGTGACTTCAGAATGCTTCCAGGCAATTATGACATTCAGTTATCCTATACAGTGGCACTTAACATATTCAAAACCCTATATGTATGAACACAGTACAACCAAATGCTTCTGTTCAGCCAAGAAATTCAGAAGGAAATTCTGCCTCTTCTCTCATCAAGCTGGGGAAATTACTTTTCACATTTACCACGGACAGATTACTGTTTCTAGAAATCAAACATAGCAGCCCAGACTCTCAGAATATGCAAGGTTTAAGAATGATCTAGCAAAGTAACTCTGCTGCTGATCACACAGATCATAAACTCTTGTTGTGCCCTGGATTCCTCAGACCTTCATCTCTGTAATATTCACCTATTTCTCCTAAGATTTCAAGTTCTTCAGGGCATGGACCATGACTTTGTTTTATGTTTGTACTGTGCCAAACACAAGAATAAGCTCAGTTTAAAATTTGGGATCTATATACAATACTACAATAGAAGTATAGCAGCTTTAACAAAGGAACTCGGCATCGATATCGAGGATCCTGGAGTAGGTCACACACTATCACAAACCAGAACTCCCGCCTCTGGGAGATTGTAGACCTGTCTTTTAAAAGTAGAATCATAGACAGGCAGAGTTGGAAAGGTCCTCAAAAGGATCATTTAAGACAAGGATGGGCAAAATATGGCATGCGGGCTGAATCCAGCCCACCAAGTTATACCCCAGGGAATTATGAAATTATGCACCCACCCAATTTTGCACATAAAATATGTGACTACACATAATTTTACATAATTTAACCCAGGCAGGCTCTGTGCCTTCACCTCCATGGGGCTCCTAACACTCCAGCTGGGAGTCCTATGTGGAGGCACCGAGCATGGTGGCACGCAACTGGATAGCTGAGCAGTGGGGAGGGGTGCAGGGTTTGTGGGTGGTTGGGTATAGGCTCCCCCCACGTCCCATTCCCCACACATGGTGCATAGCCCTTGCCACCAGCAGCAGCAACAGCAGATGGTAGGCGCTCAGGAGGCTCATGGCTACACCACACAGAATCTCTCAGCAGTCAGCGGCTCTGGCCAAGTCCTGGGGACTACACAGGGGCATGGAACTAGCACAGCTGGACACATCTGCTGGCACACATCTTCAAACCAAACTGGGTTGGCTCTGTGCCAGCATGTGGGGCTTGCAGCACTGCAGACAGGAGCCATTTGCCATGGGCCCAGGCCAACCGGCTCCATAACTCCAGGTGGGGCTTCCAGCACTCCAGTGAGAAGCCACACATGCAGGCATGGAGCCAGCCCAGCCTGATGGTGTGCGACTCTGTGCCTACACATGAGGCTTCCTGCTGGAGTGCTATAAGTCTCATGTGAAGGCACAGAGACAGAGTCTGTGCAGCTCCCTCCTACAGTGCTGCAAGTCCCATGTAGTGGCACAAAGCCAACCCAGTCTGGTCTGAAGGTGCATGCCAGCAGGCCAGGCTGGCTTTGTCCCCAAATACAGGCCCCAGGACTCAGTATGTCATTTTGAATTTTTCTGCACATAATTCCCTAGGGTGAACCAAGTGATCCTATCCACCCACAGTGGGTACCTCAGCCCCAACGTGGGGGGTTGTATGGGACCTAGTATGTGTGACTGGTCCCATTGCCCCCAGGCATGGAGGTGCTGCCTGGCATGGAATGCAGCCTGCCCTATACCTGTGCGCATTGGAAACTGTAGTCCATGGGGCTGGGTGGTGTAGCAGTAGAAAAAGGGTGGCATGACAGCTGGAATTGGCTTCCCGCCAGCCCCTGCGGGTGTGGTACACTCTGCCCTCAAACTTCTGGCTATCACTGCCAGCATGTCCACTGCTGCTGCCAGACCTGGCCCCACTGCCTGGGTACCCTGGCCCATCTACCCTGCGCCCACTGCCAGGGGTGCCAGAATCAGTGGGCAGACAGGGTCTCCATGGAGAGCAGCCCAGGACCCCCATGGGGTGGGCGAGCTCAGCTGGGTGGATGGGATGGGGCTGCAGATGGGTGGGGAAAAGTGTCCAGGAGTGGGACAAGCAGGCAGGGCTAGGATTGTGGGGCAGTGACAGCGCAAGGCCAGGGCCAGGACCAGGGCCAGGACCGAGGCCGAGAGCAGAGCTTCAATCTGCTCCTCACCTGCCTGTTCCACTCCTGGACACTGCTCCCCACCCATGGCCCCATCCCAACCACCCACCTGAGCATGTCCTGCCCACAGGGGTCCCTGACCACTCTCCATGGAGACTCCTCCTACCCTCTCTGTCCGGCACCCCTGGCAGGGAGTATGGGGCAGATAGGCCTGGGGCCGGATAGAATCGACTGGCATCTCCCTGACACCCTCCCCCAGGTGGTGGTGTCATGACGGGGGCCTGAGGCTGGGTAAGCACCAGCCAGCCCTCAAAAGCTCACCAAAACTCCTTGAGTGGCCAACCAGCCCAAATAATTGCCCACCCTTGATCTAAGACCTACCACCTGAACTAAAACAAAAAGAAACAGGTATCCTCTTTCATCTCCCCCATCCTCCTTTGGCATTTAGAAGATTTACCCGATACATGGGCGAGTTGTTAATTAATCCTTATAGCCTATCTTCAGCATTGCCAGTGCTGCATTGTAAGCAGCTGAGAAGTCCATCAGGTTCTGTACATTAAAAGGAAACTGTCAACGGCATAAGGCATCCAAGTAAGACATTAACTAAGCCTAATATTGTACAAACAACTATGTACCTGTTACTCCCTTGAAAATTAGCCAGCATACTTTAATTCAGCATAAACAGTGTCTAAAATATTCAAATCAATGGAATCTGGCAAATGGCTCATGCTATTTACCAGATTTAAATGGCTGCCTGTGATAGCTGCAAGTGTTTTGAGTGACTTATACCATATGATACTTATATTTTTAACATTTTACTCAAGCATCTTCAAACAAACACATACATGGTCATAAGATCCAGTTTACTGATTTTAGTTTAGACAAATATTCTCCTATCTTACAAGCAGTTTTCTTTAATGACTGGCAGTCATTTCGTCTGAACTTCATCTAATTTCCACTTTGTGCCCAAACCTGTTTCCACTGATAGCAAAACAGCAGGATTAGACTCTTTAGAGACTAAAAACTCCCTGCAAACACACCAAAAAAAATCTTAAATAGATTAAGATCAGACAGTTTCTATAGGCTTCTTTGGAGACTATTACTTCTTGCACAGATTATGAAGAGAGTTGTCCTGGGTCTGTAGGAAAAAGATTGGGATACACTAAAATATTTGCTCTTTTAATTGGCCATGCAGTGGGTTACCTGGTAACTAAAAACCATGCAATCTTCTGGAAGTCAGGAGATGCCCTCATATAAGTCTTAATGTGAGGCATGGCATGGCTTCGGCCTGAGACCTCTGCTGACCATTTGCTGAAAGAAAAATAAAAGGAAACATTCTTCAAATATGCTTGAATTTTGTAGCTAATAAAATCACAATACCATATAAGCAATGAAGTAATTCTCTACTTTTGTCAGATACACACCTACATCAGTACAGGTTGAAACACCATCTTACCGTTATTGAAGACAAATAACTTACCATGTCTTTAGTTAGGGGACACACTTTGAAGCTTGCAACCCAATCCAATGAAAATGCATATGAATATCACCAGGGTTCTTTTTAAAAAAAATAAAATAAATGGGAATCTCAGGCATCCCTGGATATCCTAAATAATTCCCTACTTCCCCATCCAAGGTATTCAGCAACAAATACTTCAAAAACAGAATCCAAGCTTCCAGCCAAGCAGAACTGAATAGTGCTCCCTCTGCAGTTAGTTAATGATGGAATCAGGAATCCATCAAGAGAACTTTGCATGTCTTTAATATGCTTTAAGAGCATGTCAATTAATTAACATGCTGTCATGTGTTCTGTATCTCACAACAGTCTCATTAAGTGGGCCAGCACTATCTTAATTTTATCAACAGGAAACTTTCAAGTGCTGTGCTCCCAAACAGAGGAGCCCAAGCAGCACCAGCAGAGTCTAACAGTAACGCAGGGGGAAGGGGCAGGATGGCTACAGGGGGAAGAAGTAGATAGGGTAGAGGGCAAAGAAACCACCTGACCCCATTCCCCAGCTACTGTTTCCCCTGCTATAGCAGTGGCACGGGAGAGTCAAGACAACCCTCCAGTACTTAGATTCTATAACAAATATTGTAAATTTTCCATATATAGAATCAAAATATTGGGTTGGGGGGGGGGGTGTCATCTCATATTCAGGGTAATTTAAATTTAAGTAAATACGGTAATTACTGCCTCCAACACTCAGTAAATGTGAACTGAAATTAAAGTACGAGTGTGACAGGGCAGGCCTGAACTTTGTGCAAAAAGACTTTCAGATTAATTGAATTAATTATGTAATCAACTTTACAGCTAAGCACTTTTTCTAATTATCCCCTTCACTGGCAT